CTATTTGATTTCATAATTGTGACAAATCTATAAATCATGTTGTTTAGTGCATCTTCATGTGCTCAATTGTTACATTTCATGCAATGCTCATTTTTTTTTCGATGGTAAATTACAATTACATACAAAAATATTTGAACAATAATATATATTTAACTTTAATAATTTATATTTTTATTAATTATAGAAGAAATGAATTTAATTTTTTTTTGTAAAATATTTATTGTATTTTACAAATATAAATAATCATTTAACTAATTTAATATAATAAAATAATATTAAAAATATTAAAAATGAAATCATAATTATTTTTCCTTTTTTTCAACTTAAAAATATAATTAAATGCCATTTTCATTATATTATAATTATAATTATTATTTAATTTTATTATAAATTTTTAAATATTCGATTATTTTTTGATGGGAAAAATAATTATAATTTCATTTAATATTTAATATTATTTTATTATATCAAATTAATTAAATAAATTGCTTATATTTATACAATACAATACTCTAGAAACAAGTTAAAATAAGTTTTTCTATAATTAAAGATAATCAAAGATATAAATTATTAAAGTTAAATATACATTGTTCAAATTATTTCAAATATTTTTGTAAACAGCTCTATATATGAATCAATACATAGAAGATAATACTTTTTATTTTCTTCATAAAATTCTATACTTTTGTTCTTGTTGTTTTTACAATTTTTTCCTTTCTTTGGATTACATAGCTTTCTATTTTCTTTTTTTTTTTATTTTTTTTAGATTCTGATTTTATTTTATAAAAATATTGGAAATATAATATTTCATGACTATATAAAAATTGCATCAGCTAGAATCAATAATAACGTTAGTTTTAACTCTATTAACATTACAATTATTCCCCCGATTATTATTTAGAATTAAATTACAAATTTTCATTAAAAAAATGTTAAACATAATAATTATTTGAAAACTACTAAACCATTAATTTATTTTAGATTATCGAAAAATTATTATTATATAAAAGTTATTTACATATCTATGTTGATGGGATATATATACTTTAATTTTGCATCATCTATTGATAAAATTTATGATAATAGATTTTAAATTATTTATTATTTTTACCATCTTTTAATCTTAGTTTTTTCTATTTATATTCCTATTTCTAATAAACCATAACATTCACATTGAATTATCTTTACAATACAAAAAGAAATTTTAAAATAATTTAAAATTTCTAAAAAATATATTAAAAAAATAAGTTAATCTTTCTATTATTAAAAGATAAAATTTTTATTATTTTGTTATTTAAATTATTTACAAAATGTGAGTTTATTATGTTTATTAATTTTATTTAATACGATTTTTATTATATATAAATTAATATTAAATATTCTATTTCTTTATCAGATTTTTCAATTGATTAAATATTATCTTTTGATTAAATATAATGCTTTAAAAATTTTTATTAGTAAATATTTATCTTAATAGGCATTTTCAAAATAATAAATTAGTTTATCTTTTTTATTATTCTTGTATATATAAAGAATTATAAATATTCAGAAAAATATAAATATTTTTAAAATTTTTTTAATTAAACAATTTAATTTTTGCTTTGAAAATTCTGAAATAATAAAAAAATTTTAAAATAATTAATATGAATTTTAATCTTTATGTATATTATTTAATTATTGCAAATATATACTATTTATTCTCTATTTATATTATATTTTTAAAATAAAATATATTTTTTCTTAGCTAGATTCTTATTTTAGTTATTGTATCATGGCCAATGTTATATCGTAGCCATTTATAAGAGAATAAAAATTCATATAAATCAGTTTTTATTATTTTATCATCAAAAATCGAAGACATGAAAATTCTAAACGAATTTTCAATATAGCTTATACTGAAAGCTATTGTAAAATAAAAGATTCGGACATTATAATTTCATATATAATAATATAGCTGAATAACAATATGAAATATTTTTTAGTAGAATATTTAATTATTTTATATTATTTTGATTATAAAAAAAGTTATATAAGAATTTTAATATAGACCTTGATCAAAAAATTAAAATCATTCATAAATATCAATATTTTTTCTTTTTAATAAAATTTAAGGCTTAAACAAAGTTTAATTGCAAATTTTATTAATTAATAATTTTCCACATACATATTAATAATATATATATTATTAAGTATATATTATATATTATATAATATATAAGTATATATTAGAATATTAATAATATCTTATTATTTTTTACTAAATTCTTATAACCAGATAAATTTTCCGAATGAATCCAATTGAAAATATCCGGAATTTACTTGTATACAAATTATCATTTACCTAATTTAAAGATGAAAAATCGAATTTTAATAAAATTATCTAAAAATAAAAAATATATTAAAACAATGTATGGAGTATATCGGAAAAGATATATGCTGCAATTAAAACAAAGAAAGAAAACACAAATTCTTAATATATGTATGTATATATGTATGTATTGTAATATATATATATATGTGCGTGTGTATATATTAATAAAGAAAACTAGTAGTCAATAGAAGTACTTTAATAATTAATAAAAATTAATATAAAATTTATCATTTAAATTTATCATAACAAAATATAAAAAATGTTGAAAATTATTAACGTTATTAATTATTGGTTTTAATTGTATATAGCCAATAGTTATATATTTTTATAGTAAATAAAAAAAAAATATAAAAAATTTAGAATTTTTTCAACATCGGTATTAATATAATCGGTATAATATAATATTTAATATAAATCGCTATGATGTAATATAAATTTTATAAACATTTATTTGCCGACTTTATATTAATGTTATGATAAGTTGAGATCAAAAAAAAAATTTTAAATAATTTTTATAATTAATATATTGATTATTCTTTGAAATAATACATTTATATAAATATATTAATAAAAAAAATCAAATCTTGATCTGTTAGAAAAATAATACTAACTATTAGAATAGAGTAATTATTTTAGAATTTTATATTTAAAAATTTTATATTTTGTTATATTAATATGAAAATGATTACTTTACAATCGAATCATTTTTTATATAGTAAAAGGTATTTAAATTAAATGTATATTTAATATATTTTTAACAATTTTTTTAATAAACTCATAATTGTTAATAATTTTAAAGATATATTTGAACTTTTATATTTTAAATTATCATGTATAATTATAATAAAATATTAAAATATAATTGTTAATTATATTTTATAATGAAAATTTTCTTAAAGGAAAATATTGCTTGAAATCATCTCAGAAATCATCTTGTTGTAACATTTTATTACATATTATATAATATCAAAATGTAATCATATATACATATTATTAATGTATATATATAATAAATTACAATCTATTTATGTTGTACATTGTCTTCTATGTGTTATGTACATATATAGTATATATTATATATATTATATGTACACATAAAATAGTATATTTTTATCTTTTAATTTTGTTTTTATGTTATCATTAATATCTATTTAGTATTATATGAAACTTATATCAAAAATTGATTAAATATAAAGTAAATAAAAAACAGAAATTTTATTATGTTTAATATGTATACAAATATGTAAACAGATTTTAATTTTTATTAAAAAACAGTTATAGAAATTAGAAAATTTTTAATATAGTTACGAAACATTTATATAATATATTTTTACAGATTTTAAAAAATTTCAAGATTTTTTCAAATTGATAAACTGATTATTGATTATTTTTATAACGAATATAAAATATAAATATTTCGTATTATTATAATTTAAGAGGAATATACTTAAATAATATGAATGATTATTTTATTAATAAGTCATTTTATAAAAAAAATAATAATGAGATGTTTATATATAATTTTTGAGATTTATTTAATTATTATTTATTTATTTAATGTTCAGACATATCTTTTTTAAAAATTTTTTTATTATTTCCCAAATAAATGATTATTTCATATTTCTTAAAATGTAGAGAAATATATATACATAAAATATATTTATAATATAA